CGTCCATGAGGTTTTCCCCTCATTCAAACATTTAGATAACTTCAAATAATTAATGTGTATTTTTAACTTGGTAAACAACCGTTTTTGTTTAATGACTACAGTCACTACATTAAACACATTACCACACATACTATATTGCTTAATGATCATTAGAAAAGGAGGCAATAAAATAGTAAATGTTTCATTTACCATATACCGTATACTTTCAAAGGAATGCATTAGTCAGTGTGTTGTAAACTGGCACTCTCTTTCTTACAAATCATCTGATTTTGCATACATGTACGTGTTTTATTTTGCTTTTTTTTTTACATGACAACATGCAAACTGCAAGCGTGGCTGTGCATACTTACGGATGTTGTCGGTGTTCTCTTGCACGATGTCCGTCTTGAGCAGGTTATCAGCCAGGACGAAGGCCCCCTGCTCGACCGTGTCCAGCAGCATGGTGGCGGCCCTCAGCTGCTCGCCTGTGCTCAGCTCCCTCCAAGCCGCCTGGGCCTGCGGCTGTAGCAAATTGTTGACGGTCTCCACCATGGCCTAGGGAGTTCAAATCATTGATTTAGTGAGCGGAAGCTAAGCTGGCCTGGGACTGCGGCAGCTTGACGTGGCGATGTGGTAAATGGTTTGAGTGAAGGAAGATCAAAGGGAGCTGAGCACTGAGAAACAAATCGCACAATCCTGTGGGACTGTGCGAGGAAGAAGCGTGGAGAGTTTCTTTTTTCACCCCTTTCTCTTTTTCATTTTAGCTTAAATTTCATAATAATTTTTATATTGAGCAATTTCACGAGTCTATTTCCCATTCACTTAAAAGACATGGCTCATCGACCTGCAGCAGCGACACCTGAATCTGTAATGACAATGGATGTTGCTCTCTTGTGTTTTTGCTGCTGTTTGCTTTTATCTACAGGGAGAAAAAAAATAATCATGTAAATGAATCAGAGTCAGTGCTCACAAGTCCAGAGACCAATTCTTACATGACTTAAGGCAACGGTCTTTAATTGGTGTGATAAATGTTCTTCCATGCAGACAATCCCAATGCACAAACGCACTACAAAATAAATGGATAAATAAATTTTATAAAAATTAATAATTATAACACAACAATTTTCAAGGGATGTAAAAGATCTTTGCTAGCAGCAGCAGCTATCTGCAGCCATTCGAATCGGATCTTCTCTGCATATTAATGCCGTCGAAGGACTAATATGCCATCTTTAATCTCCCCGCAACAATGCCGGAGTGGGTAAGCAAGGAGGAAACAAGAACATCCTCCAGACAAGATGAAAAATTAAGAGCCATTAAAGATTTAAAAATGCCAATGGCGAGATTTAGGAATGGAATACTAATTGGTCAAGCAAGGCAATTCATTCCTGGTACCAGTGCTCCGAAAGAGCTAAAAGAGCCTGACCGCCGCTGGGACAAAAAAAAGAAGCTGTTTCTAAGCCATTACAGTGCAGTAGGTGGCTAATAATGCTAGTAATAGTCGCTTTTCCAGGCTTCATCATGAAAATCACAGATTTAATTCAGTTTTTTTTTTTTAAAAAGGTCAAATTTGGATTCCCTCTTTACGCTTCTTTAAAAGCAATTGTGACAGTTTGTGCAATTGTGACATCCCGAAAGTGGAAGTGAAGGTGCACGTGAACGTTGGTAATGCCACACCACAGAACGCCCTCTCTTTTTTGATCAATGGATTTATGAAGGGGAATAAGAGCTTTAGTACGACTCCACAACAGCATGTGGATAAAGCTAAAGGCGATAAGAGGAGCCATGTGCTCGAGTGTATTAAAAGCATTCCTCATAAAAAATAAAAAAAAAGGTGGGGGTGGGGGTTACAGTCACGTGGAATAAATCTAATAGCTCCCCCAGCCTCGGATACTTTATAATTTTAACTTTATGTTTGTCTCCAGCCACCGTGATAGCAAGAGGAGTCAGAGCACTGATTGGGAATTTCAAATAGCACCAGCTGGCTGTTCCCCATTCAAAACATACCCTGTACACATTAATCCGCCCACACACAGTCACAGACACACACAGCACTCAGAGGCTGACGCAAGAGAGAGCACACACCTCTGCACCTGTTAGTATACAGGAACATACACAAAGTCAGTGGCAGGCACATACGCCGACTGCAAGCCGTGCCGGGTAATACAGCCACACACACACACACACACGCACAAGCAGTGCACCAACTTTGATGTAATTATTCATTATCTGCAGCCAATCTCCAATCACACCTTCTGACATTCAGCTAGAGGCAAAGGTTGATTCACTCTCAATTAAGGAGCTCTCTTTCTTCAGGCACTGACATTTTTTTCCCCTTCTTTGTTCCCTCCTGCAAGATTTGCTTTCAGCACTTCTTAAAACACTGAAATAATGGTTCTTCGGGGGGGAACGATTGATGGACTCGCAGACGAGGTCGTCTCGCTTTTTTTCTTCCACATGCACAATAGATGCAAAAGGAGAACAAGGTGGCAGACCAGTCCAATCCTGGGGCTGGAGGGCTGGGTCAGAAAACGTGACGTCCGAAATTAATATTGGAATAAAGGATCAGCTCTCACACTGGTCCTTCAGGCATTTTATTTTTTTATTAGATCAGCTAAAAGAAAAGCAATAAAGCTGACATTGATGCACGCCGCGTCATTTGGATGCAACAGATTAACCAAACCACTGTGACACAAATTACTCATTACTGTTATTAATATGTATAGAGCATGCAAATCTTTACCTCATTTAAACCAGAGAATGATATTATGACACAAACACTATAGGATATTGTCACTGTGTTGGACTGACAGTATATGCTAGACCTGATAAGACCTGAAATTGAGCATGCGGTTCCAATATGCCATTACATTGTAATGCAAAAATGTATTCTTCAGTGTTTATAATAACCGGCAGCCGGGCTGGTTTATGATGAAGAAGCTACAGACAAATTGTGTTGGAAGGAAAATCCAAGGCAAACTTTATCCTTCTGCACCGAAACTCCCATTATCATAATACTTTTTGTGCTCATTTCAGGCCTGTGTTTTGTAAAATAATATGCAACAATTTTGACGGCTAAAATAATTTCAGATAAAGGTCACAGCGAAGGAAAAATAGCTTCCGTGCCAATACACTGTGTCACCCCGTGTTCATCTGTTCGTACACTGCAGCAATGAATGAGCCCTTACTTTTAGGGCCGTAAACAATCTGCAATTTAAAGGCTGAACGTGTTGCCGAAATGTCAGATATTTAGTCAAGCAGTATATGGATATACTTTTATTAGATTTCTTGTAGGTAAAGTCATGTGATTGTATGCACTCCTGTGAAAAAATAAGTACATCCTTGTAACCAAGTGCTGCTAACCAAATGTACTTAATTAGCAGATCGTCTGGTTTGGAGCATTCAGCTGTGTATTAACACAATGCCACAATCTTCCCAGGAGTGGACATCTCAGCAAATGCACTCCAGGGTGCAATGCAAGGCTAAGGGAAACTCTAGAAAACCCCAAGAGCAACATGTCAGACTCTACAGGGCTCAGTTAGCATGTTAAAAGTTCAAGTTCATGGCAGCCGAGTTTGGTTGGGAGGGTTTAAACAACATGGCAGCATGGCTTAGCTTTGCAAAGCTGCGTCTGAACAAACAAAAAGACTTCTGTAACTTTGAGCAGATGAGACCCTATTGTAGGTGTTTGACCATAATGTAGAGCAGTGGTCCCCAACCTTTTTTGCACCACGGACCGGTTTATGTCCGACAATATTTTCACGGACCGGCCTTTAAGGTGTTGCGGATAAATACAACAAAATTAAACCAGTACCTGTAACAAAAAAACAAGATTGATTCATAACACACGGGACAAGACTCAGGGAAACCGAGTTAACGATAAAAATGATTTTAAAAAAATAACGCTAAAAACCGATAAAACCCCTGAAAACCATGAATTTCAAACCCGAGCCTCAATTCTTCCGGCCCGGTACCAAACGACTCAGGATAGCGGTCCGCGGCCTGGGGGGGTTGGGGACTGCTGATGTAGAGCACCACGTTTGAGAACACTAAACATGGCGTATCAGCACAAACGCCTAAATCATCCTGAATCATAGTGGTGGTGGAAGGATGACGACTTGTGCTTGTTCAATGGGCTCAGGGTCTGGGCACCTTGAGCGATGGTGACCTCCTCTGTGTATCAAAGTATTCTAGATTCAAATATGAGACCATATGAGGCTAAAACAAAAGGACAAAAGGACAATGATCCCAAATACAGCAACAAATCTACAACAGAACCACTGAAAACAAAGAGAATCAAGATGCCACAATGGCCCAAAGTCCAACCTTCAACCTGAGTACATTAAGGAAATATTGCACATGTTTAAATAATAGACTTTAGAGATGCTGGCAGCAAATCTGGCTTCCCTTTGGAGAAATCCAGGGTAGTCATGATTTCCTGTTTCCATATTTGTGAGAAGTTTGGGTAAATGGTTACTTTGGTTAGCTTCAAATTTCCAGTATAGGCAGGAAAAGGACACCAAGCTCTTAACCTAATATTCCAAACTGTTTATGTCTAATGTTCAACTGTTTTTCAATGGACGCTATTTTGTGAGGCAATCCATTGTGAATACTCAGTGGTGACACCGTGTTCTTTATTTACGAAAGCTAGCGGCATCTTTACCCGTCTTCCCATTAGATCAGGCTGTCACATTTTACTTTTTCTCCAAGATCTTTCACCCAAAGGCAAATCTCTAGTCTGCAATATGTTGCCATGGATTTATCAAAAAGCAAAGTTTCTTGGCACAGGCAGTAGGTTAAAGAGGTTTGCTTTGAAACATGAATGAATAAAAATAATAACATTAATTAAATAAAGTTAAAGTGAAAAAATGCAGTTAAAGGGAAATACTAACAGTCATTAAGTCAACTTTCCCTTTTCCAGTGAAGACCCTGGCCATTTGCTCACGTCGAAAGTTGTCATTTTGCAGTCCACAGCTCTTATGTTTGAACTCTTAAATTAAATCCACCCACATGTTAAACCATTGTTGAACCCCAGAATTAATGGAAAAGACAACAAACCAAAGAAAAAATGATCAAAGCTCTTTCACTGGACCTAAAAGGTTAATGGCTGTGTTTAGCACAAATAAACACATCCAGAAAATCTTTTTATTAAACTGATGGACCTGAGGAACACGCTAGCCCTGCCTACATCGTCAGGCTACTAGACAGCTAAAATACCCAACAATTCCCAGGAGCTAACAAGTCCAAAGGCATGCTTGTTAGATTAATTGGTGATATCCGTATCCATCCATCCATGCAGCCATACAACAGGCAAGTATGGCTGCCAGTGAAAGTGGGCCTCTAGTGGTTATTGATCATGTGACTGCTGATAGAAGCAGCAGGATGAATTGTGAAGTTCTGAGAGCTATACTCTCTGCTTACATTCCCCCAAATGCTGCAAAAATTATAAGCAGCACTTCACAGGGCAACTAGATAATGGCCAAAAGCACACTGCAAAAGCAACCCAAGAGTTTCTAAATGTAATAAAATAGCATATTTGAATAGACTTGAATAGACAA